GGAGGACAGCCCCCGAACAGGCCCTGCAGGCGTAGACTCTGGGCAGGACCCTGGTCCGAGCACTTCGGCCCTGGGATCCAGGGAGATCCTGCACCTGTGGGAACTGCTGTGGGGCCAGGAAGAGGGGGCCGCCCTCCTGTGGGGGCCCCTTGCCGTGGCTGTCTCATCCCCCAGCCCACCTGCCCCAGCCCAGCTCACTCTGCTCCCAACACTGGAGGGGACCCTGCGCCCCAGCGCTTGCCTGCAGCCGCTGCATGTACTGCTCCTGCACTTCCGGGACAGACGAGGACACCTTCCGTTCCATCTCCAGAAGCTTCTTCAGGTTGGTGCTGGACTCTGAGCGGATGATCTCAAGGTTGATCCTGAAAGGCCCCAGAGGGCCGGTGGGGTCAGGTGGCAGCAGACATTCAGCCTTGCTGGGACAGTGCCGCCCCAGACCACACACCCAAAGGCTCACAGAAGGACATCAGAGCTTTGGGATGGGCTGAGCGGCATGAGGGGGACATGCCCACCATAGAAGGTGCAAGGGCTGTCGTGTTAGGACAGTGACCCCAATGGCTCAGTCTGTCCTCCTCGCCCGAGCCCTGCAAGGTTCAGCAGCCCCAGGACCTTCTATGGCGGCGTGGAGCCAGGCAGGGCTGTGCTGCGAATGTGGACCCTGGAGTCAGATGGCTGGGGCTGCCCGCCCAGAGCCGCCTGCAGGGCTATGTGATCCCATGGACGTGGCCCTGGCTTCCCTGGGCCTCAGTCTTCCTGCCTGCACAACGGGGGTGGCATGGCTCTGCTCATGAAGGTTAATCTTGTAAAGAGGCTGTGTGAGACCAGCTCCTGGTGGGACTGTGGCTGGGTCCCACCCTGTCCCTTGAGGCCACAGTTGCCCTCTGTCCCTCATGGGGACAGGGCATGCTGGACATGAGGTCCTGTCCCAAAGCGAAAATGACTGTCTATCAGGCAGCAGTTCCTGGGGGCCCAGGGTTGGGCTGCAGCCATAGGACCCAGCCTAGCCCAGCCACCGCACTGGCTGGGACCAGGGCTCAGGGCGAGCCGTGGGCTGGGCAGGTGGGTGGGTGGGGCAGGAGGCGCCTACCCTGCTGCCTGGGCGGGCGGCTCCAGGTCCTGGGGCAGCTGCAGGAGGTCGGGGTGGCTTTCTTCCACTTCCTGCAACACGATGTGTCCCTGAGACCCACTAAGGCGACATGCTGCTCCGGGGAATGCCCACGCCCACCCTGCAACCCGCAACCCTCAGCAGCCGAGGTCCACACCCCCTGGAAATCCCTCTGGACCTCTGCTCTCTTCCCTTGGGCCTGGCTGTGGTTCTGTGATGGTTTCACCTTTCTTGGGGTCAGAGGGACAGAGACCACTCAGAGCAGGAGGAGGCTGTAGGGAGGGCAGTGGTTCGCAGGGGAGCTGGAATAGGGCTCCCAGGAGGGACTGTGGGCAGGGCGGCGTGGGCGTGGGCACCCTCCCGCAGGCCCTGGGGTCCCTGGCCCGCGGGGCACCTCCAACACATGGTGCAGCAGCGTCACACGGCTCTGCTGGGACTTGGTCTCTGTGAGCTTCAGCAGCGTGCTGATCTTGAAGCCATCTGCGTCACCAGTGTGGCTGCCCTGTGGGGGTGGGGAGTGAGTCTATGGCGGGCTGGGTGGCCGGAGAGCGCGGGTGGGCAGGTGCGGCCCACTTACGTAGTTGAGGAAGTTCCCGATTTTCAGGATCAGCTGGCAGAAGATGGGCAGCCGGTGGCTGGTGAGCAGGCCTGCGGGAGGGGGTCATGTCACTGCCTCCCGCAGGCCTCCCTACCTCCACCCCGGGCTCGGCCCAGGGCGGGACAGGGCCGCGGGGCAGGAGGCAGAGGGCAGGGCAGCAGAGCCCTGAACACAAGCACACTTGGGGGCTCTAGAAGCAGGCTGCCCTGACATCAGTGTCCTCTGAACCTCACAACCCGGGGACAGATGACCCCGACCCCGTTCTATGGGTGAGAAGGCTGACGGGAACCTTCTGGAACCTAAGGCCGCCCTGGCTCTTGGCTCTGTGGCCAGGACAACAGGGGACAACCCTGCATGTGTCCTCAGCAGGAATGAGCTGCATCCCGGTGGTCAGGCTGATCTGTGTCCCTGCCCTGTGTGTGCGGCAACTCCCTCCCTCGGGCAGGGAAAGCGGTGTGTGCACGCGTGTGCGCGTGTGTGCACGTCTGCGTGCTCAGAAATGAGTGCGCATGCTCTGTGTGGGCCTCAGAACTGGATGATGCTGCACAGTGAGGTGGGGGAAGCGGGCACACAGAGGCGCTCCCAGTGGCTGTCGGGAGCCCTCGAGCTCCCCAGCTTTGGGCCCCACTCACTCTTGCAGGCGGCCAGCAGCAGCTGGGCCTTGGGCCGCACCAAGTCCAGCACGACGGCCGTGCCCTCACACAGCAGCATGCACTCGACCCGGAGCTGGTAGCTGGGACGGCAAGGCAGAAGCTCAGGGGCCAGCCTCCCCGCAGAGCCCTGGCCCAGCAGGGTCTGCTCTGCGCAGAGCTGAGGGGCCCGCAGCCCGGCCCTGTGCAGCATGCACGTTCCCGGGCCCGGCGCCGGACGGGGCCCGGCAGGACGGTGCTGGGGCCCAGGAAGGACGTTTCCAGCGAGCGCTCAGGGGTCGAGGACGAGGACAGGCGCCCCTCCCTCCTAGGATAGGCGGAGACTTCCGGGGTCATACAGGAAGGCCCACGCAGGCCTGCAGGAGGCCATGAGCCCCTTCCTCTGGAAGGGCCCGCCACTGGGGGGCTCGCACCAGTGACATCTGGACCACCCCTCATGGAACCCTGAGGAGGGGCCTGGGCCCAGCTTCCGCCCTTGCTTCTCCCTGCCCTTCCCCCTGGGGGACTGCGAGCTCACCAGGGGATGCCCAGCAGGAGGAGGTAGAACTGGTCGGCACTGGCTAATTTGGCCCGATCCTCGGTGAAGGAGCGCAGGTTTTCAATCTGCGGGGAGGAGGCCCACACTTGGGGTTCCAGCTTCTGGCCCCCACCCAGTGCCTGCTCACTTCCGGGGCACAGCTCTGGGTGGAGCTGGGAGCCCTCCCATGCCCCCCAGCAGGGCTGGCCTGTCTCTCGTCCCCACTCACCTCATTCTTCTCGGGAAGGAGTTTGAGGAGCTGCCTGAGGACCTCCACGTCAAACTTGGTGGTGTCTCCAGCCCGGATCATAGTGGTGACCTCCTCGTTGGAGCTGGAGGAGTGAAAGGATGAGGGGTGGTGGAGGCAGGATCCTGCCAGCCTGGGATGGCCCTTGGCCCATGACACCTCTACTGGCCGCACCAGGGTTTCCTCCCACACCTGAGGCTGCAGGAGCCAGGGCTGCTGGGGCACAGAGAAGGCGGGCTACCTGCCTGGGGTCACACAGTAATAAGGCTAGGGGCTGAATAATGCACTCTTCGTCTCCCAGAGCACCTCGGCCTCCCCTTTCCAGGGTGCTGGCTGCTTGGGACACAGGAGGAATGGCTGAGCAGCACCCAGTGAGCTCCCAGGCAGGGCCCAAGGCCCTGCATCCACAGCAGGGAAGGACTTGGGGCTGGGAGGCAGGGCCAGGTCCTCATCCTCGCCCTGGCTTGGCCATCACCTGTCTGTGGCTTTGGGGAATCCCAGCCACTCCCTGGGTCTCATTTTCCCTAGGAAGTCTGGGCTGGTGGTCTCCAGGGCCCCTAGTGGGGGTTGTCTGTGACTGTTACCCCACGTCTTCAGCCCCGGGGACGGTATGTGCACTTCCTAGGGGCGGCCTGAAGATGGCACTGCCGAGCCCAAGACGAAGCCTGGGGCAGAGGCTGGGAGTCCGACGGGGCTTGGTGGGAGGGGCTGGCCCAGGGACACCGGCTGCTCACCATTTAAACTGCTTCAGGAAGATGTTGAGGTTCAGGCTTTTCTTGGGGTCCAGAAAAGTGATCTGGAAAACACCACGGGCACCTGAGTACCTGGAGGGCGGGCATGAAGCGCCTGGTCTTGAGCCCGGGGCCCCATCCCTACCTCCCGGGGCTCCTTCCTGGCCGGGGCCGCTGCCTGCTCCTTGGGCTTGGCCGTGGGGAAGGAGAAGAGCCGCTCGATGCTGGAGAAGTCGGGCTCTACCACCTCGGCGTCCGGGCTGCTCAGCGATGCCCACATGGAGCTGCGCTCTGCGGGGGAGGGCTGCCAGTCAGCTCACGCCTGCCCCAGGGGTCTGAGAGTCACAGGGCCCCAGCCTCGGAGGCCTGGCAGGGATGCCCTGCCTGGGGCCCAGCCCAGGACAAGCATACAGCCGGCACTTAATAAGTGCCTGGCGAAAAAAAAGCCCTCTAGCTGCTGTCACACCGTGCACGTACAGGGCACAGGTGCCCACGACCAGGTCGGCCTCGGCCTTGGCCTTCTCTGAGTGTCGGCACCCCCCACCAGGGCACCCAGCACCCAGGGGCCTGGGCAGTGCAGGGTCTGCGGCATCAGAGACTCACACCGGGCTGCAGGGGAGTGGGTGGGAGAAGAGGGTCCTTAGAGATGACCCTGACTCATTCCTGCCCTCCTGCCCCCAGACCACACAGCAGCCGAGCCTAGAGCAGGAGCCCAGGCAGGAGCACACACGTGCTGCAGGCACCACTGCCGCTCTCCTGAGCAGGGCCCAGCCCCCTGCAGCAGCCACCCGGGGCCCGGGGCCTCACCTCGGGCCACACTGGAAGGCAGCTTCTGCCAGTTGAGCTTCTTCATGCGCACAGTGGGCGGGTTCACCCGCCTGTGGCTGGGGACCCTGGCAGAGCCCAGACTGTGGTCTACCTGAGCCACAATAATCTCCTCCATGCCAGGGGCCCCAGAGGTGCTGGGCAGGGGTGGGGGCGGGGGTGGGCACCCCATGC